CGGTCCATTCTGCTGTCGTATAATGATATAACGATCGAAGTTACTATCTTTCGGTAAACAGACACAAATTATAATAATAACACTCGGTCCGTATCGAAGCACAGGTAGCCGCCGCGCCGTAGCCGTCGTAGCTCGTAGCTCGTGACGTCAGGTTTCGTAGCGATTTGCGCGATGCTCGCCACGCCCACGTATGTGACAGAGAGGGCAATTATGGAGATGGTCCTTTTCACTCGAGGGTCGCGGGGGGCAGGGCCTGCTAGTCACCAGCGCGGGCGGCGACGACCGCTCGTTTACTTTCACTTTTAAATGTGTATTGAAATTGCGAGTTTATTGCACATGTAATAAAATCTAAACTGATTAATATTTAGACTTAAGAATTAAAATATTTTTAACTAATAGGCAGCGCACGTCTGCTCACAACTGAGATCCGGACGAAAGAGGATCGATCAAAGCAAAGAAATGGATCATGGCTCGTATTAAGTAGCTCTGGCCGTTATGTCGCAGTTCTTCCACATTTCTTACGTGCTCGGCTAATACTAATTTATTGCCTTTTGTGTCAGTTTATGGTTGGAAACTAATATTATGTGTTATAGTTTCAAACCCGGTTTTATTATCATATTCATTTTACAGTGAAACTATTGAATAAATTGCACTTAAATAATGTCAACAATACTTTTTTAATTTTTGGTTTTATTTATGCAAAAAAAAATAAAATGTTTACATAGTTATTATTTGACAGCTTCCACAAATGTTGCAAACGCTACGCGTCGCTACCGTCGCGCACATAGCCAATAGCTCTTTCACGGGATAATGAACCTATTTGTAAATTACGCACTGAATTTATCCTGTAAGTGTTGAAACTTGAGGTGCGTAGGTTTAAAATAATACCACAAAGCGTTTTCCATATATGTATTAAAAATAAAATAACGTATTATCAAAAAATATATTTAAAAATATTCTCCTTATAAAAACCAATCACTACGGTAAAATATAATTTCGATGTTGAGGCTTTCGCCCATTATGCCGTTTCTAGAGGAACCAGCACAGAAGCGTTAGTTCCCGTTGTATATTCGTCGAGACATACATTATGAGAAAATGATTTCGAAAAATCTGCATAGGACCAACATCAAAAATGGAATTTACGGTAACTAACAACGGCATAACAGGTGAAGCATGTCTGCTGTAGTACATAAGGTTTACATTGCATTGTCATTGATCAAAAATTATGCTGATATTGATCGACATCATTATATTAAAAATAACATACTATTCATAAAATACGAGTTGAGCATTATAATGGTAAGGTTCCGTAGTTCCAATGGTTTATTATATTGAAATTAGATTCAAAAGAGTTCTGCATCACTTTTGAGCAGAATAAAATTGACTTATTTATAAAAGAAAAACACCTTTGTATTCTAATAAAAATACTAGGCGGACTTTTGACACGACGTTTAATAATTACGTATACATTTACTGCGGCCCTACGGAACTCTACATACACATACAAACACAATTTGGGCGGCAAATTTTTGATTAACCTTCCTATGCAGTGGCGTAAAAATAAAACTATAATTTTCTATTGTTAAAAGTTTAAACTAACCACTGCAACTAAGGCTAGAGTCGAATTCATAGTTTTCTTTGTCAAAGAACGTGTTTCTGTATAAAACTCCGACAACTTCATACATTAATTAAAAAAATAAATTATTTACATTAATCATCGTTGTTCGTTTTTGTTCTACATTCATTTTGCATCAGAATGCATTTTTGTATATCACCATTAATTAACTAATTCATAAAAAAACATAATCAATTCTTCACTAACCTAGAGTATTTAAACTGGATTAGGCATAAATTCATCATAGGTAAAATTAATAATATTGGGACATTGTGCGTAGTTGTTTTCTAAAAAAAAATAAACACTAATCCAGTTAACATACTCTACGTTCATAAATTCTTATCAACTAAAACTGGTTACAATTTAAAGTTTGACGAGGATATCATATCTACGTATTTATAGTTGTCGGTAAATAAACGTATAAACTACGTCTTAACATTTAAGCACCATTACATTATTTAGTTCATAATTAAAAATATATTTATGTTTAACAAGAGATCTATCATGGACTTATTTAAACATAATTAAAATTAAAATATTGAGAGTAATTTGACTTCGCTGAGAGGTGGGACAAAATAGCTGACAAAACTGTTCTACTCTCTCGGAAATCTTATCATAGTTTGGAACCTATATGGGCATTAAAATAGATTCCAAATACATTTAACAATATTATGTACTAGTACAATATTAACTATTCACCAAAATCCTACAATCAGCTCCCAATCTCCGTTACTGATTAGAATAATTCATAAAGCCGAAAAATGGCACATTACACGTAAACTATGATTCTCACTAAAGAACGTACCGAATTAATTTAATTTCACTATTTTAGTCAGTACTTCTCTTTGTTATGTAAACAAAATTATTGCAAACAATTTTCGAATACTGGCAGGACATAAAATACATAAGAGCCCTCGTATTCGTTTATAAGAAAAAAAAATGATTCAAATAAAATAATGATAGTTCAATTTTGGTTCTACGTCACCAAATTGCTATAGGTATTAAAATAATTTCAATTTATAATTTCAACTAATGAGGAGATTCACCCAATACAAATAAAGCATACCATAGTACTGGTGGGATTAAGATTACAATAAACCTTATTATCTAATAAATGTACTAACGTACTATTCTAGAATAACAGATTGTTCATGATTAACGACTTATGTGAAGCAATGATCATTTGAAGAATTCTATACGAAATGCACTTCACTGGAGTTTTAAGAAATAAGGGGAAATATGCCTAAATAACTTGTCATTTAGGCTCAAAATTAAACGCATTTGAATTACTATTATAGGAATCACAACTCATTATTTTTTAAATGCATAAGATTGAGTAATAACTTAAAAATATTTTCAATTGATTACAATCTCAAAATGCTGCATAGATTATTTGACATAGAGTATTCATTGTTGTATTAGAATAATATTTACGTAAGATTATTTACTCTAGCATTAAAGTTTATTTTGCATTGCACCTAGTTTAAGTGTACCTACCATTAAAATAGGAGTACTCTCTTTTATATTATTCTAGCTGTAGTACCACTTTAGAACCATCCGAAAGAAATCTAATAAATTTAACACAATCAAAATCGATCAAACTGTTCTCGTTAAAAACAAAGATGATTTGGTTTTACGTATATAGTATTTGCATTTAAAGTTTATTTGACAACCTGCAATATTGAGCACCTAATTTTAAACTAAAAGTAACCACAAAGGGTTTAGTAAGAATTAGTTTATACTATTTAAAAATAAATGCATTGAAAGGCAGTGTATTAAGTTCTAAGATATTTCTTTGAGCAGATCATTTATTTTGTAGTATTCGTTATCTAAAAGTAATTATTATTCATAAAACTCTAGTTTGAGCCATAACTTCATAAGATTTATGCGTTGATATTTGCATATATTTTAATAATAAACTGGAGAATGAGAATTGAGACAAAATTAGAGGTAGAACTTACAAAATTTTTGTAATACAGTTGAAAACTAATTAATGAAATTTACGACTTAGCCACCAGTCTTTGTCGTTATTATTCTCAAGACTGGTAATGGTCATTGCTTCACGTAATATTTAAGTAAAATATAAATCATACGCTATGTGTTATTCGAGCGCATAACGTTCATAATATGGATATGTCCAGGGTTGTCTACTGTGACGAAACATGAGAACTTTTCGTCATGACTCAGTCTCTTCGCGTGCATACCCGATAACTTGATGCACGCTAAGATTTCTTTCCTTTTTGAACCTCGTTTACATCTGTAATGAAAAGGAATTAATTAATAAATAGTTACAAGACAATGTTAAGACGTCTATTCTTCGAAAGCAGAGATGCACAGAAAACTAACTTTGTGTTGATTATGTTTTGGGTCCCATAAAATAGGGTTTCAAAATCAATATTGGTTGTTATCGATACCAGGTGGTTAAAACCTAAGTTAACAAATAAAATAAAAAAAAATTCAAGACCAAAAAGTCCCATTTCCTATGTTACGCAGTTGGGACAGAGGATGTCCATAAAAACAACAATTTTAAGTGTGGGAGAGCCATGCTTCGGCACGAATGGGCCGGCTCGACCGGAGTGATACCACGGCCTCACAGAAAACCGACGTGAAGTAACGCTTGCGTTGTGTTTCGTCGTGTGAGTGAGGTTACCGGAGGCCCAGTTACCCTCCCCTTCCCCAATCTCCCCAATCCCTGAATTCCCAACGATCCTCAAACTCCTAATCCCCAAAAGGCCGGTAACGCACTTTAACGACTCTGGTGTTCCAGGTGTCCATGGGCCACGCCGATTGCTTACCATCAGGTGATCCGTCTGCTCGTTTACCGGCTTATGCCATAAAAAAAATCCTTCGTCACGATCTCTCTTGATGTTAAAACAAAAAAAGGTAAAATGAGTATAAAACAAACTTTTTACTTACGATTTTCCTCTCCAAAGAGCCTTCCAGCACTGCTGCGGTAAGAAGTCCCCATCTCCGAAGAAATAGTTGGACTTGGGCGAGTTGGCTGAAGTGGCTGAGTTGGAGTGGTTTAGACTGGTATTAGGCGTCTCACATCTATTCTCTAACGGACTGCCTAGTGGCGTCATCACGTTGTAGTTCCTGTAATACGTTTGCAGTTAGTTAGTTTCTTCATTTATGATTTCGAAGTGAAATTTTACACTAAAATAATGTTACATAATATATTATAATAAATTCGACTTGAATAATTGCATTGGTTTATTTACTTAACTAACTGAAACGATAAAAATATAACCATAACATAATGCCACCATAAAAATGTATGCCAAATTGTTTTTCAGTTCACAAGTTATGACTTATGATTATTAAACTGTCAAATACCAAGCGGGCACCGGTGACCGCAACCTATTGTTCTATAATTGTGTCTACAAAACCGGTACTCGACGAGTTAAGGCGAGATTATTGCTGGATAAGGTATTAAATGTGTTGAGGATTTCGAAAATCAGAAAAACATAATAACTATTACCAAGATCGATCTCAAGATTCCTTTCCTTCAAGCACATACCAAATGGGATCATTTTTGCAGAATTTATTAATTAATTACACAAAGAATACAAATTTCTACGAAAAACTTAGAAACACAACTCACCTCTTCCCAATCTTATACTTTGGCGCCTTCATAACATGCGTGATATTCCACCAAACAATCTCCGTTGCCATGGTAACCAGTACTAATGGCGGCTGCTCACTGTCTACGTCATCATCCTGTGACGTAGACAAGTGATACGGTGATTGTATCAGATGCGGTGATGACGTCATCGAGTTGCGGTTGGAACGTTCAGGGACGGGCGAGAATGAACATGAGTGGACTTTAGACTTGTGGTGCTTTAGTAGGCATAGTTGACGTCGACCTCGGACGTTCCATACCTGGAATTATTTATAAATCGTTTGTTAATATAGGTTACGTATTTATTGTAATAAATTCAGGGGCTAACTGAACATAACATTGCACTCTAAAAAGAAAAAAGAAAGACGAGTACACATTAGATGTAACATCAACTTTTAGTTTAACTAACTAAAAGTTGACATGATCATAACTTGACATGAGTCTTATTTGATAGGAGACAAGTTTACTGGTGTAAAGGAGGCCGATAGTCCAGCAGTGGATTGCTACAGGCAGTTGATAATAACAAAATCTTACTCAACCTATATAAATATTTATTAACTCACCACAACATTCCCAGAGTCGAGTCCTAGCGCTAGAATGTTCCCGTCCGAAGTGAGATCGCAGGACACGATCACGTTGTTCAGTCTGTACTCTTCGATAGTATGTAGTTCCACGCCATCATTGATTTTGAGTTCAAATGTCTGGAAGTAACAATATGATTGATCAGTAAAAGTTATAATGTTGTATGGTGAGGGCTGAGGGTAGATACAATATATTAGCCACCGACCCTACTCTCTTCGCGGGTAAAGACTACATATTCGACTGAGACTAGTCGGCATCGTGCATCGGGATTTGATAGCTTCTTTGGTAGATGGTTTAAAATAACGTCTACTATCGGTTGAATATTTTAAACAGTGATCTAATTTTTTTATATAGAGGTCCCATAACACAGTCGTGGATTATCATGTCTCATTGCTGTTATGTAAAATGTATAAATGTGATAGAATCTAATGAAAAAATAAATAAGTATTGTAACAGGTGACAGTCTTGTTTTTTTTTCTTCTCTTCTTATAATATCTTTTGATTTACTTTGTTGCAGGAACCATGATAGTTATTCATGTCCCTGAGACGCGCTGGACTTCAGTGTTCCAGTGTTTCCATGGTTGTTGTATCTACTGTAGATCCTGGCTTACAGGTCTTGCAGCGGTTTTGGGAGGTTGTGGCGGGCTTGACCCATTAAAAAAAGGTGACAGTCTAGTTGCCCAGTGCAAGCACATGTTGCACAAAAAATATTTCCCATTTAAAAGCACATTTAATGAATCAAAACATACCTGAAACGTAGTATTCTTCCTATCACAAATGACAAGGATATTATTTTGTAAAGCAGCCGAAGTAATGTACACATCAGACTGTCTTCCGTTCAGTATTGTTTGTAGATTTAAATTCTTGTTCCATAACTTGATGGTAGCGTTAAACTCCACTGTGATGACGCCCAGATCTTTGACCCAGAAGCATTCGACAAGACCACTGCCCTTACAAATACTCTTGTACTCTTCACATCTGAAGATCCTGCCTTGGGAAGTTAAGCTTGTTTCACTGCTAGAACTGGACAGTTTTTCTGAGTGACCGTTCTTTTTGGGGATACCTGAAATTAAAAGATGAAATGATGTAGTCAGTAGTAGTAATATTACGTCCGCGGTTAATAATATAACAGCGAAAATATATAGTTTTTGCATAAGTATATGTTGTTACAATGTTCTAAAGTGAAGATTAAGATCAACCATATTCTTCTTCAAAGGTTATTCTCAATAACATATTTGAGTGAGTAAATACCATAAATTAATAAATTGTACTAATTACTTGATTTCAAGTAGAACTTTAAAAATACTTTTAACGAAATGGTTTTTTATTTAAAAGAGGTCATATAAAAAGATAGTTTTATTTCTTTTCTTTAGAATGTGACTTTATACAAAATAAAACAACTCACCCTGAATATCATTAAGTATTTCTTGGGAACCAAGATTGGTGTTACCTCTCTGCATCATTTCAGGTTTCCAATCTCCAATAGTCGTTAGTTTATAGGCCATAAGGCATGTGTTCTTTCCAGCCACAATTAGTAAGTTCGGATTAACGAAGTTCAAATATTGCACTGGGCTATAAACATCCATTATTGGAACTGTTTCTTTGGTCCGAAGTGTGTATTTCTTCACTATACCGGATTTAAGCCCGTAAATGATGTACTGATTGCATGGAGAGATTTTTACTCTTGTAATGCTTTCGGATTTATCTGATCGCTCTGTGATTTCTGTTAGGACCTTTCTGCCGCGCATTACCTGGGAAAGGTTAAAAAGATATTTTAATACATTTACTGACTGCCTCGTTGGCCGAGTGGTCGCAAGAGCGACTGCAGGGGATCTCGGGTTCGATTCCCGGTTCGGGCAAAGTATTACTGGGTTTTTTAAAAATCTCAGTAGTAGCACGGAGTCTGGAATTGTGCCCGGTATATGGCAACAGGCTCACCCCCTATTACGTGCGACTCATTATATAAACAGTGGAAAGTGGGTGTTACTTCTGTGTGCACCTCTGCCTACCCCTTCGGGGATAATAGGCGTAATCTTATGTTTATGTAATACATTATTTTCATTTGCAATCAATTATAGCGGACCGATAATTGTTTAAAACACATTGAACGCTATATCGGAGTATTTGCAGTCAAGTTTAAGTAAGGTAGGCAATTAAAACCTTAACCTTTTGAATGCACCGATATGAGACAATAGAAAATACATTGTGTCTCGCGTGGATTCACGTCTTAAACACACGAAAGGTACATTGGTACATTAGTGAAATAAAAAACTATGACGAATTGAAATATCGCATGACGTCACGTCTTTGCACATTGCACATTACTTTTAGAATAAGTTTCAATACATACCTGAATATTATTCTTATCATCAACAACAGCTAGTAAAGGCTGGAGCACACCTTCGTTGTTATTGCAGATCCCTTTCAAATTCAAAGGCTTTAGAGCACTTCTATCTAAGCTCATTGAGTTTTTAAGTACCATTTTAGGTTGGACTTCTCTATGGTTAAATGATTGATGTCTTTTTGGCGTTGAGTGTACAGTCTCAGAGTTACTGATTGGAGTCGGTGAGTTTGGTGTGTGAGGCGATAGAGGGTTGAGGAAACTCACGTCGAATTTCGTTGTTAGACGTACTCTCCTAGAAATGGTATGTTATGTTAGATGTTATTGACAGCTTGGTGGATATGACAATGACATATAATGTTCATTAATTAAAGGTTTTATAGATTGGTTATATGAAATTAAAATGTGAGAAGTTTTGGTACAAGTATTATTTCTCAACTTGAATGACAAAGACTAGTAACTATTGCCCGAATACTGAAACGTTACTCAATTTTAAGTCGCGCTTAAGTATAGTTCTGTCATCACTAAATAGGCGTGTCGACAGGGTAAAAAAATTAAAAAAGTAATTAGTCCGTCATTAAGATCGCACGAAAATATCAGACACGTATTTTTTGTTTTATCAAATTAACAGAAGAATACGTAGTTATTCCGCATTAAAGTTAGGGAGTGGGGGGTGTTGACGTCACACTTACGGAGAAATCGTACCTAAGTGTGACGTCACGCGTCATTTTAACTCAAAATATCTACATGTTTTTTTGGATACGAGAAAAAAGAAAAAATACGTATCGAAGATTTTTAAAATATCTAAAAGACGGACAAAAAATTAAAAAATAGTCGCCATGCCTATTCTTTGTAAAATGACAGAGATGGCACGATATTTAAGCACGACTTAAAATTGAGTACCGTTTCAGTATTCCGGCATATAAGTCATCCAGCCCAAATTAACATTATATCTATGTACGTATAATAAGAAAAACACAAGTTTTACCTTAGGTACAATTAAGTACTTTAGAACCACAAAAAATACAAATTATTGGAACAAGACTTACCCATTCCGTTGCGCAGTTTGTGAGATGTATGAAGCGTCCAAGTACCATACTTTAGCAGAGTCTTCAATAGACCCAGTGCCTGTTAGTAGTACGTCAGAGCCTGGCTCGAATTCATCATACATCATCTCGCTCATTGCCATTGCTACTACGTTCCTGGAATAAGTAAAATGTAGTGTAAAAATACATAAAATAGGAAGTGTTTTTAAGGCACTAGATGATTTATAGAAATCTATTAATTATGATTTGTGTATTTAAACTTTACTCAAAAGAAATGTGAAGAATGAGTGATTTGGTTTAAGTTTTCGCTTTGGGTAATTGCCAACTAGTCAAATTCAATACTTTTTTGAAATGTCAAAAACGACAGTTTACTGTGAATTTTGTACGAGATTGTGTATTGTGTCGTCACGTTTTTTTAGAGCCAAAACATACAACATACAAACATACAACATACTTCTTTCTTAAAAAATTGCTGGAAAGCTACTGAAATTAAGTTGGTCATAAAATCATCTTCTGAAAGTGTGATTAATTTATAATATTTGATTGTATAACAGTCGAAATAATTTATTTTTGATTAAGGCAAGTACCCAATTGTGATGTCTTTATTAAGTATTTTAGTTGACAAACTGTTGTCAAGTTTTTGGATTAACTGTCAAAAATAATCTTAAAAGAAATTACGTATCGTACCTCTACATAGTACCACCTAATAATATCGATATTACGATACATGATCTTCAACACTTTACTCAGTCAGCTAAAACACATATTTTTAAATAATACATATCTTTAGCATAGCTAAGTAATAATAATTCATCAAAAATCTTACCCCCTTCTATTCTCCAGATCAAAACACCTGGTATAAGTCTTGAGATCAACACAAACGACCCTGCTATCATCAGTAGCAACACAGAGTAGGGTTCCACTTTTATTGACAGCGATTGCAATGAACGACATGTTGTCTTTAATGTCATTACTTGTAATAACTCGTCGGCAACAACACGTGTTCTTGATTGTACTTGTGTGAGATCTACTCATTTCATGCTCCATAATCTCATTCGGTTTTAGCGTTATGATTTTGTTGCTACCTGTAATTAGAAGTATTTTTTTTTATAAAAACGTTGCCTCGCACTAGGATTTTCTCCTGTGTCGTGGGTGCGTTTACAAACATACAAGTTCACATACACATCACACAGACCCGGAACAACAATCTGTGGATCTCACAAAGAGTTGTTCCGTGCGGGAATCGAAACCGCAACACGTTGCCCAGCTACCGCACCAAACATGCACTAAGTTGTTGAAGTGTGAGACGGTAAAAAGAGTACCTATACATTAAAATGGACTAATTAATAATAGGAAAACGTCGAGAGAAATCGCAAGGGTGGGAGAGCCATGCTTCGGCACGAATGGGCCGGCTCGACCGGAGTGATACCACGGCCTCACAGAAAACCGACGTGAACCAACGCTTGCATTGTGTTTCGTCGCGTGAGTGAGGTTACCGGAGGCCCAATTTCCCTCCCCTTCCTCAATCTCCCCAATCCCTGAATCCCCAACAATCCTCAAACTCCTAATCCACAAATAGCCGGTAACGCACTTGTAACGCCTCTGGTATTCCAGGTGTCCATGGGCGACGCCGATTGCTTTCCATCAGGTGATCCGTCTGCTCGTTTACCGGCTTATGCCATAAAAAAAAAAAATCGCAAGGATAGTCACTATGAACGTTACTTTACACAAGGTTACGTGATAACTGTGTGCAATATGGTTCATGACTAACAATAATAATAATGGGGTTGAGGATCACATATTAAGGTTTAGATTTATCAATGAGCACTGCTGCCTAGTCTCTATTGAATTAATTGAATATATTGTTTTTAATTGGTTCTCACGTAGGAAACGTAGTGGCAAATATTACTCTGACGTCACCACCACACGACCTTATAAGGATTTAAAAGTTTTAAATCTGACAATTATCTATCGGAATACGAGCATTAGAATCGACGTCACTACCATTACTCATGGAACTAGTTGAATACGTCAATATCAAGTTCCTATAAAATTAATAGATAAGGATATGTGGTAAGTTGATAGAGGAAAATTGTATTTTTTTTTAATATGTTGCCCCACACTAGGATTTTCTCCTGTGTCGTGTGTGCGTTTAGAAACATACAAGTTCACATACATATATGACATTCCCGAAACAACAATCTGTGGATTACATAAAGAGCTACCGCGCCAACAGTGCAGTCAAAATATGTATTTCTATACAGGGGGATTTGTTATTAGAGTACAATCTCGTATGGCGTTACAGAACAGATAGTTTCCAACATATTTATTGAACAAAGGGATAGGTGGATATGAACATTTTAACTTTTAGTGGTAACCCCATACGAGATTATACTAACAAATCATCCTGTATAAATGTATAGTCAGTAGGCAATTAAAAGTTAATGACTATTACGTATAATGAACAAGTATATGGCTAGCTTTCCCTTCTGACGTTTGTAATGCAATTACACATTAAAATTGTTTCCTACTATGGATTGTTATAATGACGCACAATTCTATCGATTTTAGCATGATACATTTAAATATGTATTAAAATACAAAAGCAGAATATTATATCTAGAATAAAATCTAAGAGAAAAAAAAACTGAATTCCGTTACTTTTTTGACTTCTAATATATCGAGTATCCATCAAATTACGTGGTAATTTGCAGTCATTTTTAAATACATGGAATGATTAAGATTAGGTTTAACTAAAACTAGTTAAAACACACCCATAACGCAGGAGACAAATTAAAAGACAAGCAACTTTTTTTAAAATAAAAAGAGAACTTACGAGGAACAGTAACCATATCTAAAACAATATCAGTCTCATCGAACGTGATGATTCGTTCCCTGGTCTTCAAATCGATCACTTCAACCCTCTTCACAGGGCCATCGGTAGCAACGATAACATTCTTATCATAATTACAAGGCACACAACACAAGATCTCCCTGTCTCTATCAAAATCCTGAATTGTTTTGAAGATTTTGTTCTTTTGGCTTCTAGAAGGGTCGTAGAAGTCGATCTTTTTGCTTGTGTGCATGATAAGGTACTCTTCATTGTTCGCCCATCTGCAGTTTAGGTATGAACCCTGGATTTGTACGTCAGCAAATGTGTTGTTGTAGCATTCTTCTGGTTCTGTAATAGACAATTTTATTTTTGTTAAAATATATATTATGATGTAAGAATTTATAGTCTTGATGCTTTTGCTTTCTGTTTTTTTTGTTATACCAGATTATACTTATATTGGCGTTAGTATATTAAAATGGTTCTCCAGATAATTGAAATTGAGACGAAAAAATTTTTTTGATTTTTTTTGCAGATTCTACAGAATAAAGAATAAAAATGATAAAATATGTAACTGCAATCAATACACATTTCAACGCCAACAATACCCACGACTAACAATATCAACTTTAAGTAATTACAAAATATATTACTTGTCCTACGCGACAACTTTACTTCAAATTTTGTAAAACACACCCATATTTCACTTGTCTACTCACATAACAAAAAAATAAAAAAAAAACAAACATAAGAAATAACCCCTCTGTGGTTCAAAACTAGTAGAGCTTTTTTCAGTATATTCACGTATGTCTCACGATGGTTATTATAACAAAAACTAATAACAAACAAAAAGTCAAAACTAAAAAGCAAAAAATAACTATGATTAGTACTGATAGATTACCCACCCACTGATAGGT